CTGACAGTCTTTCGTAACATCTCCGTCCAATCGTCCCCATCGGCAACTTCCAGCTGCACAGGACCAGCAGAGTCCTTAACAGCTCGCATTCGAGCTCTGAGGATGCCTCCGGGAGTCGCTTTCACGGCTTCCGGAGCACCCTCGGACGAGTTGTCGTCGAGCTCCGCGGCCAGATGCGGTTCGAGAGAAGACCTCGCCATGTCTTCATCCTCGGACACGTCATATTCATCACCCATATCATCGGCGTATTCCTCCTCGAGGGACAGCCTGACATCGTTGGGTGCGGAATCCGCGGAGCTAACCCCTAAAAAAGACTGCTCGCCAGAGAAGTGGGGTTGTAGGGCTTGAGCTTCATCGTCAAAACCACCAGGAAGACCTCGATGTCTTCGAAACTCGAATGTGTCATCTTCCATGGGGGAGTTGTTGGAGTTGATGGAAGCATCGAGAGCCACCTCATGGGGGGCGGCTGGCTCGTTCTGTGTCATCTCCTCGTCGTCGGAATCATCGTCATCAAGGCCATAAGTGGTAAAGTGCTCTACTGAGAAGACCCAGACACCAGTCTCCTTGTCGTAGCTCTCAAAAGTTGTGTTCTCGATTCGCTTGAGACGCTCAACGTGTTTATTAAACCGTTTAGGGTCATTGGCGATACGCTTACCACCCCGAGGCCATGACTGCTCGAGAGCAATCCTGGCGGGAACATTGAGGCCCTTGCCGACAGGCGGTTTCTTGGCTGAGATCGGATAGACTGTAGCAGATCGAGGCTCAAGCACAATAAGACTGCCGCAGATCTCAGCCAGATCAATGTTGCTGATGTCTACAGGGACCTTGAAAGAAACATAACCAACATTATCACGGCCAACAGTGAAGCCATCAACCTTTTGGCGCTGCATGCGGTTCAACTTTTCGAGATCCTCCAAGGGAGGTGACATCCAGTATTGTCCGGGAGCATTGTCGGTGCTGGTAGATGAAGCCTCGGGAGTGACAGTGTGATCCTCCTCATGGACGATAGCCAGCTCGTTGCCCTTAACTTCCTCCATTTCAGGGGTCTTAGAGCCCGCTGAACCGTTCGAGCCATTAGCTGTGCGGATCTGGCGAGGGGTCTCGTCGTTGGCTGCTGGGCTTTCAACGTCGCTAGCAGCAGGAAGAGCACCGCGAACAGGTGTGCTGTCATCCATGTCAACGTTGCTTGTGTCAAAGCTAACACGCTTGGAGAGCTTTCGGGAACCAGTTCCAGCATCTGAGGCTCTGTCCTTCTGCGGTGTTGAAAAGAGATCACTCCTGATGTCTCTGTTGATAACGAGCTTCTTGGAGCCAGTGCTTCCATACCACCTGGGCTGAGATCCATTAGAGAAAGCTCCGGGGGCAAGAATACTGTCTTCAGTGTTGAAGCTGCGGCGCAGGTTGTTAGTCGACAGGCTTTTACTGAGATTTCCAGATCGGCTTGAGCCTAGTAAACTGTGGCCGAGGTTTCCAGGTGTACTGGAAATGCTACTCGCGGGGCTGCCCGAGGGGGTACCGTAGTTGCTGTAAGAAAAGCCGAAGCCTCGCTTTTGGGGAGTAGCATATCGAGAAGCAGAGGCCGGAGCCAGCTTATACATAGGCAGAATCGAGCTTCTTCTTGGCTTTGAACCGCCGCTCAGAGGAGTAGCCAGAGGACCGGGGTTCTGGACTTCGTTTCCACCGAGGCCAGCAAACAGACCAGGAGAACCAAATGCCGAAACGTCGTTGAGGTTGGCAGTCAGACCTTGAGGGGCATTGACGGACTGGCTGTTGCCTAGGATTGAAGCTCCAGTCTGTTGCTGTTGCTGGTTTGTGCTGCCGCCGAACAGGGAAGATCCAGCGTTCTGGTTGTTTTGGCCGCCAAAGAGGCTGCTTCCAGCATTGTTAGTGCTACCACCAAACAGACCGGGCTTTTGCTGCTGGTTATTGGCGGCACCGAAGAGGCCGCCGGTATTTTGGTTCATCTGAGTATTTGAGGTCAAGCCGCCGCCAAAGCCAGCTCCAGGTGTGTTCGTTTGAGCTGTGGTGCTGTTTCCGAAAAGGCCACCAGTTGGGGCAGGTTTGCTACCGAACAGACCACCAGCCGCATTGTTGTTGGCGGCTCCAAAGCCAGCCGTATTCGTCTGCTGTTGATTGTTGCCAAATAGGCCACCACTAGTCCCAGTTGTACCAGTGTTTGTGTTGCCAAATAAGCCAGTACCAGCAGGCTTCTGTTGGTTGTTGCCGCCAAACAATCCGCCCGACTGCTGTGTTTGGTTGCTCTGGCCAAAGAGGCCACCACCGGTGTTTTGCTGTGTCTGGTTGTTGTTCTGTCCGAAGAGGCCACTAGTGCCGGCAGCTTGGGTGTTGTTGCCGCCGAAGAGGCCACCGCCGCTGTTTGCAGTGTTATTGTTTGCGCCAAACGCGTTATTTGTGGTGCTGGCTCCAAATCCACCCGTAGTACTGGTATTCGTGTTTCCGAAGCTGAAACCGGTACCAGCAGGCTTGTTCTGAGCTGCTCCGAACAGTCCACCACCGGTGTTCGTGTTCGTCTGACCGAAGCCAGACCCGGTGGTGTTCGTGCTACCAAAGCCACCTGCAGCGTTGGTGTTTCCTCCTCCAAAAAGACCACCGCCAGTCTGGTTCGTCTGCGTGGTGGTGCTGCCGAATAGGCCCCCAGCAGGTTTGTTCGCAGTGCTGCCAAACAAGCCTCCGCTGGCGGTGTTGTTGTTGGTTGCTCCAAAACCAGTCGAGCCAAAGCCAGTGCTGGGTGTTGAGGTGTTGTTCGTGTTGGATCCGAAAAGACCACCACCAGTGTTGGCCGTCGTGTTCGCCCCAAAGCCTGAAGCTGCGGTGGTATTTGTGTTAGTTCCAAACCCTCCGCCAAAACCTGAGCTCACGCCAAACGCACCACCACCAGTAGCATTGCCATGTCGTCTTCCTTGGACGTAATCGGCAAGTCGAAGTTCGTCAGCCGACCACTTCTTGTAAGGATCTTGGAAAAGAATGTTTTGGTAAGAGTTGGTCGAGGTACTATTAGCTTCCTTTTCGCTCCAAGCTTGGAAGGCCGCAACAGCAGTGCCAGGAGGATCGCCCGCAGCGCCGCCAAGAGTATTGGTGCTTGAGGCGCCAAATCCTGCGCCAGAGCCGAAGCCAGAGCCGAAGCCTGTCGTCGCGGGAGTGGTGGTGGTGTTGTTGCCTCCGCCGAAGAGCGATCCGCCGGTGTTGGTCGTAGTGCCAAAGCCAGTCTTGTTGGCAGTGTTGCCACCAAACATACCACCTCCTGTGTTGCTACCGAACGCTGATGTGGTGTTGCTTGTGTTGCTTCCAAAACCTCCAAACCCTGTGCTAGTGCTGGTGTTGTTGTTGGTGGTTGAGGAGCCGAAGAGGCCACCTCCTGTGCTGGTAGAGGTAGAACCGAATGCAGGTTTAGCTCCAAAGCCGCCAGCAGTATTTGTAGATCCAAAGCCGCCTAAGATATTGATTGTTAGTATGTCGGTGTCGATAGAGCTTTGCGCACTGGATTCGTCTCTCAATGGTAGATGACAGTGATGCGATGAAGTAAAATTTGCGTACCGGTTGTTGAGCCAAAGCCGCCTGTGGTGTTGTTATTATTATTATTATTTCCGGCACCAAAGAGGCCACCAGAAGTGTTGTTGTTTTGGCCAAAGCCGCCGAAGCCGCCGCCGAAAGACATGATGGTCGCCGATGATGAAGTTGTTAAGGAGTGGATGTCAGTCTGCGCTCCTGCGATTTTTCAGGGCGAGCACGCGTATGAGCGTGCATGTGGAGAAGAGAAGTTGATTGAGCTAGGGTGAGGTACCTCAGTGGCTTTAGTAGTAGCTTAAGGTCTGTCGCACCAACTCCGTAGGCCCCAGTGCATTGCTGCCTCAGACAAGAACTTTGCAGCTTGATTGGTTCTTGAGCTTGAACAGCCAATCAGGCACTGCGCCGGAGCTACATACTGGTTGAGTCACTGATGCCTGCGGTAAGCCTGAGGTCTACCTGCTTCAAAGGTACCAAGGCAGACTCGACGTCAGCCAAAACCGCGTTTGGTTGGCTAGCTCTGCACGCGCCTGGGAGCCTAAGAAAACAAATGACATCTTGACTTGGTAATTTTGCTTCATTGCCTCAATCATTCCTGATATTGAACAGCTGACCGGTGCATATTCAGGCGGGTGCTTTCTAATCAATTGTTTGCAAATGCTTCCTCTAGCTTAGATATTGGTAACCTAATTTTACTTCACAGTTTCTCCCGAGCTACCTACCTATGGAGGCTTTGATCACGATCCCAAAGCTGTTCCCTTCAACCACAATGGCTGTACCTTAAGTTCGGACCCACCTGAGCCATCCACAGCAATGACAATGAAGCTGCCCTGGGGGGGGGAAAGAAAACTCGAGACCTTGATCCTAAATGACAAAAAGACTTAGGTAACTTTACATACCTAACTTTAGAACATCTACACTAAATTTAGGATATCTTTTACTGGGTTTATTTTGGCACCCTGTATGAAGAAGGTCTTGTGTTTTCTTGCTCCCCGAGGCTGCCCAACCCGACAAGAATATCTTGAGCCCGGAGATGAAAGGCACAATACAGATTTATTAGCGCTCAGACATACAAGTTGTACAGATGACAAAGGACTTCATTTCATACTAATATAAATCTATTGTTGTATGTTGAGACCCTGACTATAACCCATGTAGCCATTGCCAATTTCCTGCAACAACCTAAGCTGGAGGTGCACTAATTTTTTCTACCACCGCGTCAAGGGTCGCGTCACACTACCTACCTACCTCTAAGCATCCATCTCTTTCAGCTCTTTGAATACACAACACAACCTTGCGCTACGCCCCTCCAACATCTTCGCCCTGTCGCATCAGGTGCCTTTGCTATTGTCAACCTCTGCGATCATAACTATCCTCAAATTTTGTTATTATACCCGTTGTTTGGGAACCATCGCACCCACCGCCTTGCTTGCTCGATTGCCGCTCTCTTCCAGCCACATTGAGAAATCAAAACAATGAACTCTCATGCGACGCCACGCACTGCCTTTCAAGGGCGCTCGTTAGGCGGCTCGGGACTTCCTCCGCAGTCGAGGCAGCCAGTTGCTGCTCAAGTGTCCTCAAACGAAGACTATAGTACGATTCCGGAGGAGGACCGCGAACACATTGATGAAGTTGTAGGTTGAGTCTGAGCCGCCTTGAGAAACCCTCCGCTCACAGTTGCTTCTGCCAGTTTGATTTGATGGACATGAAGAAGAAGGGATGGCTCAACAGTTACGAATTCAGACACTCGCTAGCAGCCCTAGGCTTCGATATGTCAAAGCCTGATTACTTCAGAGAACTACAGTCATACGGCTCTGTTCCTCCTGAATGGCAAGATCCTCACAACTGTCCTGTCAACCGCCTCTATGTTTACCTCGACCAATTCCGATTATGCGCTGCCAAGTTACTCGCCAACCGCGACCCCAGACAAGAAGCGACAAAAGTGTTCAACATGTTTGATTACGATGGAGATGGTGTTATTTCCTTTGAGGACATGCGACGGCTAGCTTCCGATATCAAGGAAGAGAGGACCATGACAGACGAGGAAATTCAGAGCATGATTGAGCATCTGGATCACGAGGGCAAAGGCGGTGTAAACTTGGAAGAATTCATACAGATGATGGAGGAGGCTGGTTAAGCCCAACCACAGGGGTTCAAAGAATGGCAAAATACCAGCCGTGCCAGAACATGACAGTAAAAAAAGTCCGGGACAAGTGGCATCGCTCGGGGTTCGCATATTATCCACGCCTGTCGCGCTTCGAGGTCGATTTGTGGGCTTGCAACAAAGAATCTCCCATCTTGAGCCGATAAGGTCATTGTTGCAACAGATCGAGCGAGGTACATGGCTGTCTCAGAATCGTCCTCGCGAGCACAGAATTGCCCCGAATACACGAGGCTTGGCTAGCCGAGTCAAGCCACATTGTCAGACAGAGAATGATTCAGTCCGCGACCTTTTAAGCGGTTTGGGTACATTAGTTAGCTGCTAGGCGCATTAAGCATTGAAAGAGAAAACGGGAAAGGCGTAACATGGCTACAACGGAGTCAATGGGTAGATTTCAATAACATCTAAGAAGTGTTTTTTTTTCTCGAATGCGCCAGTTGCGCTGTCTAAAATCCCAGAATCCATCACAAAAGCTTTCCCATTCTCCCATCACAACTAAGCCACCCAATATCAGACTCAACGATGGTCCAATACCTTGAAAATGTACCGAGAACAGGGGAATACCATCCTTCGCCCGCGCAAAAAACGGGAATCGGGTTCAAGCCGGGATATGAAGATGAACGTACAACAAAGAAAAGTCAGGGGTAATCAAACAAACCATCACACAACTAGCTTGTCACCAATACATGAGCGTAAATTTCGATTGAGGAACTCGACTTAGAACTGGATCAAGTCGTGGTTCTGCTGTTGTTGCTGTGGTGCCTGCGGGTGGGCGAAGGGGTTGTTCGTCTGTCCATTCATGCCAGCAGGTCCAGTCGCAGCAGGCATCTGGGCGCCATAGTTGACTGTGGGCATACCCGTGAACTGCTGTCGAAGGAAGGGGTTGTTGCCGGTAGCCTCAGCGTTGATGCGGGCAACTCCTGCACCGGCACTATTGACAAACGTGCCAGGGGCTGTGTGCTGGGCGGGAATACGAAGGTTGCCTGTGTTGCCAAAGGTGTCCATGCCGTCACCGCTCGCAAGCAGAGTGTTGAGTCGTGTCTCGTGCTCATTCATCTCCTTTTGAGGAGCGACGAATGAAGGTTGCGACTGAGGGAAGCTATTTTGTGATTGCAAGGGGAAGCTGTTCTGCTGCTGGAGCTGGGGCTGAGTCTGAGGTTGGCTGCCAAAGGAGTTGAGGCTCTTCTGTTCAGGAAGCGCACCGAGGGACGAAATTGGGTTTGGTCGGGCGGACTGAGGACGGCTGAACTGGGCGAAGGGGTTGTTGGAACCAGTGGGAGTTGGTTGCAATTGCTGCTGACTGTTGTTGGTTGCCCAGGGGTTGTTGCTACCAGGCTGGAGAGTAGGTTCGGGAGAAGCAGGTGATGAGAACGACTGCTGCTGAGGCTGCTGCTGTTGTTGCAAGTAAGGGTTGAAGCCTGTGGGCTGGGGTTGAAAGCCTTGCTGGTTTTGCTGTTGTTGCTGACCATAGGGATCGAAGCCCATGCCTGTCTGCTGGCCGTTGAAACCGGTGTTGTAGTTTGGCTGGAAGCCAGTGGGTTGGGTCTGCTGGAATCCAGTATAGGCGTTGTTCATGTAGCCAGTAGGCTGAGGTTGGCTCTGCTCGATAGGGTTGGCAAAGAAGTCAACCGGATTTCCTTGCTGGTATCCTTGGTTGAAGCCAGTGTACTGTGGCTGGCTGGTTTGCTGCTGAGGGGTAGGATCGTCGTCGAAAAGAGAGGCAGCGTTGCTGTTCTCGAGTTCCCTGCGCCTTCGTTCTTCCTCTTCCTCACTAAGCTTGATTGCCTTCGCCAAATCGTCATCGTCGTCTGGTCCGTTCTGTCGGCTTTCGCGCTTCTTCCTGTCTTCCTCCTCCTGGTACTTGCTTGCTTCCAGAGCTAGACGGTACTCGGCATCTTCCTCTTCGTTCATTTGTCGTCTCGGCTGCTGTCGTCGGGTTCCATGGTTCACGGGCTCAGCATGCTGAGGAGCAAATTCCTCAAGGCCAGTGACGCGCGACTTCCAGGATCTTCGGTCGCTTCGCTCGGCCCGGAGCCTCTCTTCGTCCAAAATGAGTGAAGTTAACTCCTTGGCAGCAACTCGGACTAGCTGGGTGTTAGTGGCAGCTTTAGACGGCACATATACAAACACTGACCGTTTTGTCCGACATCGCGGCCGTCTTCGTCGACATATTGGAACTCTCGCAGAGTCTTGATAATATAAATACTCTGTCGAGCCCATGTAACGACAAGTTCTGAACCCTCGTGAAGACAATAATCCAGAACCTTGAGGGCTTTGAGTACGTGACGCCAATTCTTTCCCTTGTCGTTGAGACGCTTATCGATCATGTCCATAATTTCGTAGAACTCGGTGGATCTAATCGCGTCATGCCAAGTCAGTACTTCTCATCGTACACAAGGTAGTTGAGCAATGCGCAGGGTATTACATACGTGTTGTATGTCATTTGAGCAATCTCGCTCATTTGAGTGCCGGTCGGGCCCCATGGGTCATTACTGGTAGCTACATGTCACTGTCAGCGGTGATGTCCCAGCGACGCAATCGAGAACGCAGGGAGTTCTGACCTTCTCGGACCTTGACCTGGGCGCTAGAGTAACCCTTGGTCACATTTTTGACACTTCGCATTACCTTGGACATGATGGGCGATATGTGATGTTGACTGATTAATTTCGTTGGTGAACCGGATGCGTTGTGAGCGCCAATGGATCGGCCGAGGTAGGGTGATTCGATGAGGCTCGGAAAAAGGATTGGCCTGATCAAACTTTACAAGCGACAACCTCTGCGACACAAATCCGACACGCGCCCAGTGAGACGGAGTCCACGGAAGTAGTGCAGGGAGGGGGGTTTGAGGGGGTTGAGCGAGCTCCTAGGATCACGAGATATCCGCTCTGGTAATTGCGTAGCCTTTGCGACAAGTCCCAGCCAAAAGAACAAGAGTCAGTCGCCGTTTGTCTGAGATTTGGCAATCAAGAGGAGGAAGATCGTCTGTGGAGGGTGGTTGAAGGACGGGACGCAATCGTGGAGTGATTAGGTCTGGATTTCAAGAGGTCGGGGAGACCGATCGGACACGACGTTATAAGATGAGGAGCGAGTGGGAGGAGGGAGGCGAAGTGACAAAGTTTGGAGGCGGCGAATTCAAAATTGAGGAGAGAGAAGCCTGATTCTGCCGTTTATGAGTAGAGCACGGTAGGTAGCGATTAGAGGAACAAAATTGCACTGCTCTTTGCGCGACTCGCAGAGCTGTAGAGGGAAAAGAGTGAGTGCAGGGCAGGATGATGAATGAATTGGCGCTCTCTCTCATGCGGGATTGGGAGCGGCGAGCATGGAACCAAGGCCGGCCCAACTAATGGGACGGGCTAGACGGGCATGGCATGGCACATTGTGGCTCTGCAAGCTGATTACGTATCCATTTTCACTTGCCAGCTCAGATGAGCCTAGGTATTCAAGCTGTGCCAAGATTTGCGGGGTTCTTGGGGTTTGCGTATGCGTATTTGAGTTGATGGTGTTGAAACTTTGCGTGTGTATACATTAGTACTTTGGAGCTTCTTTTTATTCCACTTTGAGGTAATATCCCCCAAATTTGTTCTTCTGTTGAGGACTCTCCAACGCTTCAAGCACCTTGGTCAACTGTGGCTGAAATTTGGCTTACACAGGGTGTCAGAGCGTCTTTTACACCCGCTGGCCCCAATAGGAAATACATACGTCACGTTCCCGAAGGACCCTGGCCGCAGTTGGTGTGTGACAGAAGAAACGTGCGGTTTTGATCTATCATCATAATGCTTATATAAACTAAGAAAAAAGAAGCATGAACCCGCAAGACAAAACATTAAAGACTTTTCAAGCAGCACAGGACCTTCCTAATTTAATTCAAGTTTACAGATGACCGGCCATTTTTCTCACATCTCGAAGCCACATCAATTCAGGTTGTAGTGTTGAATTCTTACACCCTTACCCTGGAGAAGTCATTCGCATAGATTATGGTAAAAGAGGCATGCAGTATTGTAAGATGATGGCTGGAGTTTTATCAATGTCTATCATCGTGCCAGAGCATCCCTGTTCTGCTTGTGGCATCCAATGGCTTGGTGAGAGGTGATGGTAGGTTATAATCACTTTGGCACACGGTATATACTGAATAGAGCCTGAGCCGAGCCAGTTGATATCAACCATCATACAAATTCAATAAGTCTTTCCAAGGGACATACTGGATGAAAAGTATGGATGTTTGCCTGGCGTTAAAATTGTGAAAGAAGTGTCGAATCAGCATCAGCGAGCTTCGTTTAAGTATATCAGTTGCTGCAATGAAGCATGCGGCCGGAGTATGCGATTTCGTCGTGAGCGTCCTTTTTTCGTCCGTTACGTATAGCTTTGACTTGGCTTCCATCTCTTCGAATTTGCCGACTTACACGGAGGATCACAAGTTAGCCCCCTTTCAGCTCCACCTCTATCATCTGAACGGCACCACAACACCTCTGCCTCTCCCTACCACAAAACTCCCTCTCACTTCTCTTTTACTTGTAGTTGCTGATTTAGGCTCTTCCTTTCTGTCTCTCTTGGCCTTTATACAACAATTTCAGCGCCTCCTTCTCTTCTTCATCCACAATCTCAACTTCTCCCTTCTGCCACGCCGTAACTTCAACGTTGCACTTCGACATCTCAAGCTTCCCTCTTCTAACCTCTTCTAAGACTCCTCATATTCTCTGAAGTCTTCCGTTATAGTGATTCACCCTCCTTGCAGTCTTGTCTATAAAAGGCTGCTCTTCCTCCTTCGATCCTTGTCTTCATCTCTTCCTTCTTCATCATAGCCTTCAGTTCTCTTTCTTCCCTTTCCTCAAGTTATATCGATATAATCCCCATCTTATTCTATCCTGCAGTTCACTCAAACCTCATCAATATGTCAGACAGGAGCTCAAGTGACTCCGATGTGGAGCTTATTGACCTCACAGAAGATGATAATTCTCATCCAGACATTGATGGGCATTTCAATGATGCCCCTGACCAGGAGGAGATCTACCTTGGGCTAGATATTCATGGGGAGTCGATTTCACATATCATATATCGACCTGGTGGCCCTATGGACGTCGACAATGAAGAGGAAAGCAGTGACGAAGACCAACATACTCCTGAAGTCGAAGGAAGCCTTTTCTTTGGCGATGACGACGATGAAATCAGCAATAGCGATGGCGATGACGGTGGACACAGAGGACCTCCATCCCCACCATCATCCGATGACCCGGGGAGCGAATCTGACGGGTCCGAAGATACCGACAGGTCAGAAGATACCGACAATCATCATAACGACGACGATGAGGAGGATGGCGACGATGATCAGAGCCAGACAGCTCAACACAACTCAGGGGCTTCTAACAGAGGAAGTCCTGGCGGCGATGATTCTGGTGATGGCAGTTCTGACGACGAAGCAGACCCAGATGACGAGGATGTCGACGATAATCCTATCAATCGTGACGATGAAGAAGGCAACGTGGAGCACGGACATAAAAACCCGGATGCTGATTTACCTCAGGTCCTAGAAGAAGAAAGTGTCGAATGGCCAGAATGGAATGGCGACTGTATCGATACATGCCAGCCGCCCTGGAACAGTCTTGCTCGCAAATTCGCAGATTACCGGAATCGATTCCTCAAAAAGAGAGAAGATTTGAGAGAGTGCAAGAGGGTCAACAAGCGCCGGGTCACCGACCGGAATCGTCAAATCAGGAGCCTAAACGAACTGGTGGACATAATGAAAGAAGCAGTGAGACAGTTCTATGCGGCCAATGACGTAAACATTCAGCAGAATGAGAGACTTGTGTCAGAGAACCAGGAACTCCGACGTCTTGTGCCCGAAGAAGAATTGGAGGATTTCCCTGACCCTATTCAGCTGAACAATGGGGATATGGAGGCATCTCTGCCCGAGGAGAAGCTAGAGAGACTGCCGCCAGATGTCCGAATGTATTTTCGAGAGTGGCGAGGCGCACCAGCAAAGGCCCGAAAGACAGAACGTGTATGTACTTGTCATTATCAGGAGGCCTTCATCTTCCATAATCGCTAACAAGCAATAGTCGTGGCCAAAGGTCTACACCCGTTGGATCAGACATGGTCATCATCCTGACTATGATAACTGGGGAGATATTCACAAGCTCGCTTGCCAGGAAGAGAATATGCCTTCAGTTTTCGGGAAGTCTACGCCACTCAGAACACACCCGGATCTTACTCTGTGTGCACCGCCTCCTCAACAAGAAGAGAGTGTTATTACAGGAGAGGGTGAGGTTTGTACTCCTGAGCCATACGACCGATGCGAACGGGCACAAAGCCAAGAAGATACCGGCCCGTTCAACTTCGACATCCTTCCAACCAAAGATCGACAGAAGATAATCACCAAAATTCTTCGGTATGCTCTTATTTTTGATGGGAATATCATTCACGCCATCTCTCGTTTGGATCCATTCTTCGAGCCGGCCTCCCCTAACCGGAACTGCAACGGTAAAATATCGCTAATGCATCGCTTCCACATTGGGCGGCAGAGAGTTTCTCTCACATTCGGAACAATTCATCCTCAGAAACTCCTTGCACCTCTTCTGGTATGCAAGGAATGGAACATGATAGGTGGGAGCCTGTTCTATGGAGCAAACACATTCGCATTCTCTTCTATCGGCGAGTAGGGTCGCTTTGCGAACAGAATCGGATGCAAACTCCAACATTTGCAGCACATCGAGCTGTTGTGGATGGGCTCACAGAAGCTCACGTACATGATTGACCAAAAGGGCAAGTACGTATCTCGTCGAACTCATGATCTCGCCTATCTGCCCGAGGCCTGTCGACTGAAGACGGTTGCTATTCATCTGCCCGAGTCCTCCAGGGAGTATATGCGACGTAAGCATGAGCCGCCTCAGATCATTCAGTTCTTGGCACAAAAGACGAGGAGCCAGCCTAACTTCCGCCGCTTCCGTGCGTTGCGTACGTTGCAGGGTGTTGATTATCTATACTGCCTTCGTGGAGTTCGGGAAATGGCCTTCTCCGACTACGACGAATCGCGACGACAGCCCCCGAAAATGCCAGTTCGTGACTGGACCTTTGTCCGTGACATCAACGAGTCTGTACGCAGGGAAAAGTCTGCAAATGACGAACACTTCTCCCAGCTTCGGTACCTAGCTCCATTGTTGATCCAGCCTTCCGTCGAACTCGCTAGGCAACTTGAGGACATCGTCAACCCGCCTCAGCGATTAGGTCTCATGTCACCACCTCCTGATATGTATCCCCAGCTGCAGGCCGCTTTGGATCAGGCTGATAATTCTGAGGATGAATCTGATGGGGATGCCAGCGGCGGAGATTCTGATGAAGAGATGGGGGGCGACACTGACGATGATAGCAGTGACAGTGATGACGATGATGGCGGCGGCACAGATGCGCGCTTCAATTATCAGCATCTTGCTGCGGATGATCACGGTCGTGAGCGAGATGAGAGCCCGGCCGATCTCGATGAGCTGGCAGCAGGACTGTCCGATATATTATCTGATGATCAGTCTGATTCCAACTCTGAACAAGAGAAGAAGGAAGAGGTATGGTCAGTTAATGGGCAGACGATCGACTTAATAAGCGACGATGAGGACGGTGATGGACCCCAGTATGGAAGAGACCGGTCCACCTCTCTATTCGTTCGAAGCCCCCCACGGGCAAATCGACCTGTGTTCACCACCAAGGTCGAAACACCATCTCCTCCAAGGGCAACCCCTTCAGCTCTCGCTGACCAGGCTGAAATAACGCCGGCGAGGGAGAACCGCGCTGATAGTAGCTTGTTTGTGAGCCCTACCCCCTATGAGGATCTGAACCCTCAAGCAGGAGATCGCTCATCGCCAATTGACCTCACTGAAGGTATGGGGGTGTCATTCTCTTCTCGTACCCCATCCCCACACTCAGGCACGAGCTCGAGCTCGAGCTCAAGCAGCTGTTCTTCAGGGATCAAGCGAGAATGGGGTTTGATCAGCGTGGATGACGATGATGAGAATGACGGTGACGATGAGGATGAAGGCTTCCAATTCTTAGGAAGTTTTCCCAAGCGGCCACGCCGTCCTGACGGTGGTGATGATGACGACGGTGCTGAAATGATGGACCTGGAGGAGGGGCCTCGGGAGGAGCGTCAGGAGGAGTTTGTTATGGCTTAGATTTTGCTATTTGCGGGCTAAAGGAAGCGAAAAATCTCGGGAATCATTTGCTTTTGAAATGGGAGAGGTCAACTGGACTGAAAAAAGGTTACCTTGATATGCTTTGGCAGCGAAGTTGAGTTCAAGGTCCGGCGAGAGGAGGAGACATATTCGGGAATCGAGACACAAGATAGGTACTCAGATTGACACTATGCGTATCTCATGCTGAGCGAATGGTTTTCCCTCACAGATAATTGCTAATAAATACCCCAAAATTGCCCCAGAACATGACTTGCAATGTCTATATAACCATGGGCGACCAATTTCTACGGGGTAAGGATACGAATATCACAACTTGAATTGATGCATGTCGTCCGCAACTTATCTAATCGCTGCATGGTGCGGGCTGGTATCTCTTTTTAGTGTTCTTTTAATCCCATGCTCATTTGATGACTTAGTTCTTGAGCTCAGCAGTGGCAGGGTAGTGCCAGCTGCGGAAGGTATCCATAACAGTTGTAAACACGACCAGGAGGATACCACCGCCGGGACCCAAACGGAGAACCTGAATGCTTGTCAGTTGACCACCCTTCCAATTCCAAAATGACTACTTACCTTAGGCAAGAAACCCTTGTAGAGAGCACCGAAACCCTCCTCCTTGAAAACAGTTCCTACGGCAGGGAAGGCCCAGTTGTACTTGGGAACCTGGCCAGCGACCTTGGGGGTGTTCTGAATTCGACTCTTGACAACGTCCAGGGGAGTGTTGAGAACAGTTCCGATGGTACCACCAATGGCACCAGAGATGAGATCGTTGGTGATCTGAGCCCTCTTGGTCTCAGCCTTGGGGAGAAGTTGTCGGACCTGGAAAATGCAGCCGAAGTACCCAGCGTTCCAGAGGATGTGACGCCACATAGTACTCTCAAGACCCTGGTAAAGAGTGAGGGGACCCTCGTTCTTGACAGTCTTGACGACACAGTCGACCATGCCGTTGTACTTTCCAGCGGAAGCCTTGTCCTGGAGACGAATCTTGACGAGCTCGAAGGGAACGACGACGAAAGCCTCGGTAGCACCAGCAGAGGCACCGGTGAGGATGGAGAGCTGCTGGTTCATCTTATCGACGCCAAACATCTTTCGGTAAACCTTGCCCCATTCATCGTTGGCAGCAAACTTGGTAGCACGCTTGGGAGCCTCCATGAGGATGGGAGCGGAAATACCGCGGTAGAGCCGTGAGAAACTGGCGCATGTCGTTAGTCGTGGGCGCAATAGAATCGCGAGCGCAGATACCGTACCCCTCCTGCTTGATGATCTTGCGGAAACAGTCAAGCATGCCATTGTACTCAGCGGTAGCACCGGAACCAGTTTGCAATTGGCTGGTCATCAAGTCAGCAACTGGGCTATTATTTCGAGATGCGCACGCATGGTTCGTCATACACTCGGGTCTTGACAACATCAAGAGGGTACCTGGGACTGGGTTAGCTAAAATGTCTCGAGCACGCGACAATTGCTGTCATACATCACCAGAATCTACAGCCCGCACAAAATTAGCAATGGCCCTCAAACAAGTGGGACTGGCGCGGGTGTACCTCCGAGACGCCAGCAATGGCTCCTAAAATATAAAACGTTAGCCATTGGACCTGGAGAATGGTAGAGTTGAATGAGTCGAACTGGCGTACCTGCGGCGAACTGGTAGACGAAGGGGAGGGGCTTGTCGTTAGGGTTGGACATTGTGACGACTGTACAGGCGACCGAACAGAAATGAGGGAGGACCAGAAGAACAAAAAAAGAGGTTGAGCGAAGAGTTGTCGCAAGTTGACGAGAAAGAGAGAAAGCTAAGCTGAGGTAGTCAACGAAAGGGAAGATGGCGACCTCCGAGCGAAGACCGGGCCGGGGAGTGGAGGGAATTTCTTTGGTGGTGCGCCTTTGTAGTGGAGGACGGGTATGGATCTTATCGCGCTGTGGTTAATAAGTGATAAGATCACTGTGACAGACGGCGAGAATCAGGTCGATGCCGAATGGACGGAACCTTTTGCTCTAAAAAAGCGCCTTGTATCCGTGGGATTGTGGAGATTATAGCAAGCGACAGCGAGATGAGACCCGGGGGAGGGGTCCATTGATGCTCGGTGAGACGGCAAGCAACCGATCCATGAGGCCCTAACGTCTCCGATTCTTCTCCGACGATGCGATGCTCTTTTTGTGATGGCTGTTTTAGGCAAGTCTGTGGTATATTCTTGGCAGTTTATACTAGGAATGTATAATGTCTTACGAACAGTTTCAAGCATACTAATATCTACACATAATCCCAAACTATGATGAGTTTACGTTACGAATGTACAGAGTAGTCAAACTAATTATTGATAGTAACATATACCCGGACGCCCGATGTCTGCCGCTAGCCCTGAAGCTCCTGGGAGCACGTACCCGACTATTTACCTTTGAGCCACTTGTACCTGAGCATGAAGGGGTTGACATCGGCAACGGTATTGGGGACCCCTTGTCCCAAATACAGACTACATGATAGGCTCTGCTGTAACAAGAGTCCGCAATAACGCAGACATAGCTCCACGGGAGCCAGGGTCTTAATTGCTGAAGCTTCATACATTTGCTGGAGAACTCTCGACAGAGCCTTCAGACAAGGTTAGTGAAGCTTCTTCATAAAGAGCGGCGCTTATGATGTGGGTAAAAGTCAGGCATGGCCTTATGAGTGACTCCTAACGTACATATGTCAATCATATCACCATAATGTACAAGATGATGGGTCTAAATCCAATGAGGAAAGTATTCGGAGACGTTGACCAGCACAAAATACGTGAAATCTCGCGGAGGCTTGCCAATCATAGGTACCTCGCAGATACAGTGGGAACATATACTTCAGAGACCCAACTTGAGATACTTCAAACCAGACCTGAATGCCATCATGCGACTCTAGGAGAATACTCGAATACATATGGTTCGGAGCCCTCCCCCCACGATGTCGATCCCCGTGCACGGGCGACCGTCTCCATCCCGTCGGCCGAGTGGACTGCGAACTTGGCCCGTAATGAATAGACAGGAACTTGCCTTGATCTAGAGTGATGAGAAGATCTGGGACAAATCATTATAAACTCGATTGGCTGACCTGGAGAAACAGAGGCTTACATTAACCTGAGGATACCTTGGAAAACGCAACAAACAGATGGTCTGCAGTCCTCAAAGGATAAGAACATTGCAAGTTACTAAAATCCTGTAGTGTTGCTAGTGGTTATTCTGCTGTTCCTTACTCCTAGTCCTTCTCACTTCCAGCAGGGAGAAAGTGTTCATCCACGTTCACGAGTAAGCCAAAAGGTTCACGAATCCGGTCTTGTCAACAGTATATCCTCCGAGCAATGTAAGAGCATTCCACAGGATTCGAATCTTTTTTCATGATGCCTTGACAACGACACAGGAAAGATACTTGCCCGAATCCAGCCGTCCACAATTCTCGAAAGCGACAAATGAGAAACTCCAGTTCAAAGCATGTGGTGAAGCGCAAGACCAAGTTTCAGAGCTTCAGAGCTGCACACCTTGGAAAAGAGATCCGTTATTGGTTCAACCTCAATCCGCAATTCACGGAGGGGAGTTTCTGGATGGCGGGGTAGGTTCTCCATCGATACAATGGTGACAGAAAAGAGGGAATGCGTTTGTGATTTTTATAACAAGATATTATCACAAAATGCTGTAATAACAGTACAAGATGTGGTAAATAATACCGATATTATTGAGATGTAACGCTCTGACATATAGGATCATCTTCTAATTGCCAATGGATGGTTAGAACTTATAGGAATCAAATACCAGGCTTTCACTACCTATTACAGGGTCTCTTTCGACGCCCTGTCTTCCCTAGCTGCTAGCCAGGGTTGCGATTGGGGCACGTTTTTCGGGCACCATGCTGAATGCACTTGCTGACGCGCACAATTGGCTGGCCCCTCGGTATCGAATCTCGAGGTCACTCACTAATGACATCGCCTCTTCACCATCCCGATCTGACAAATCCCGTTCCTTTCGTCCTCTGATTAAACAAAGGTGTTCCTTCCTGCATATATTACACTCCAGAAGACACATCTCAACAAAGGTTCCCCTCCATCTGAAGACCCAAGACGACGAGCGCCCCTTTACGCTCTCCCTATTGATCGACCGAACATACGCTGGGTGGCAACCTATCCCGATCACAAGCAACCGTCGCAATCTTTGCGCCAGCAACCTCAACTTCTGCGCAACTTCACCTGAGCTTGCCACTATCTCAAGCTCTCCTGCGCCTCAAATTGCACCTTTAAACAGGCCGTGACCCAACGAGCGTCACAGCGAGGTGCCTTTCGCGCCCAGGAGAGTTCTCTTGCCCCCTGCCCATGAGTCACTTATTGTGGAAATCCTACTGGGAAAACGATGTCGACCGGTTTCGGCGTCTGCTGGCCCCAACCAGCTACAACGCCCAGTCGCTATCGAAGAGCCCTGCGATAGGAGGAACTGGTGCACTCTTCGGTGGAAGCCCTGGTCTTCCGGGGACTTCCCCACGACCGGCGAATAAGCAACGACGAGTTTCCGGCCACCCGCAGACACCTGGAAAATCGAAGGACGGCAATACAAATCTTGGACGAGCCGAAGTCAACAGCCGCGACCATGCTGGATTGACAGTTCTACTTCGCGCTGCCTCATCGACCGACCCGAACGCCCACCAGTTTGTCCAGGCTCTTATCGAACACCCTGCCATAGATCTCTACGTACAAGACCCCGAGAGTGGCTGGAATGCCCTCCATCGATCCTTATACGCTGGAAATGTTTCGATTGCGCGACTGTTGTTGGAAAAGGAACGAGTGGATTTGACAAGCCATAATCTCAATGCTGTTAATAAAGTCGGGCTCCTGATCAAGACGAAAGACCACGAGGGGAACAGTCCTTTTGACGTCTACAACTCAACAATCGCTGCAAGATCTCTGAAGAGCATGGAAAATGGGAGCAATTCTGATAGTGACGCTGATAGTGTCGATAGCGGTGGTGACGGTTTACAT